ATGGGCGCGCGTAGATATGGAATTTCTCTTCGAGTTGAACACGAGAAGAGAAATCCTAAATATACATGTAAACCATGTATTATTTTGTTTATCATTTAAACACAATAGCCCTTTCCCGACAAGAAAAGCCGACTTCGTTAATGAACGAATATAAATGAATCACCAATCCCCAAAAAACAATCGTAGAGTGCGTTAGCGCTAACTCTTGAGATGGAAAAATGTGTTGAGTCATGATTACAAAAAACAACAATGGTCGTAATTTTCAATTTACAAAATGCTCATTTATTGACTTTGTCCTTTCCGACAGAAGAAGTCTTTCTGGTAAACGGCCAAAATCGGCCAGTGGCAAATCTTCCAGTTGTCGATTTTTATTCTCAGCCGCGAGAAATGCCAACACCAACGCCACTGAATACGTAACGTTCGGTTTTTCTTTTTGTATATTGGTTTTTTTCCCCTTCTAGGAAAGTTTAAACCTCACTGTCTGTCAGCAATACGGATATTTTAGTGTTTTAGCCGACACAATCCAAGAAAGTTCCGATAAACTACCTTATATTGAGAATCGTGAAGGCTTTGCTGTTCATTCATCAATCTGACCAACACACGTGAAAAAATACGATATTTTTTCACGTGTGTTGTTACGGCTTTTCCTAGGGCCAGAAATCCCTGTATAACACCGCAGTTTATGTGATAAGTAAGATTCTTATCTGTCTTAACAGTTTGAACAATTTTAGATAACATAATTAGTTTACGGGGAAAAGTAGCCAATAAACTTTAGTACGCAGTAAAAGATTTAAAAGTTTTGTTGCATTGCAAGTTATACGAGTGCAGTACGTTTTTGTTATTAATACCAACAGTTTAGAGAGAATTTTATTGCGAATTCGAAGGTATTGCAAATACTTTAAGACATCGTAAGTGTTGTAAATTATGTTCTAGGCGTTTCATGATTCTGTTTGCTCATGATTGCTAGTGGAATGAATTTAGTGGAATGGACTGTCGAAACCGTGGTCTGGAAATTGAAGTTTTGCTCAGTATAAAATACCTGTCCAGACAAGAGAATCTCTGACATTGCTCTTTTTCTGAAATTCTTTGAATCCTTTCTTTTCACCCTTATCGCTACTCCCAAACCCTTACCCCAGGGTACCCATCGCTCTCCTTCACCCTGGTGTACACTCTCGTCTAGACCTTGGTCCGCCATCACCACTTTTATCAATATATCTCATTTCCTTCCAAACCTCTTTCAGGTTAAGATATGCAGACGGTTTACCATTTGAGTAGAATTCTGAATTTCACGTTCATTTCACAACTTTACAAAATTTACAGCATCAAGAGTCTATTAACGCATGCGTAGTCGTAAGCCGCTCTACATCTCTACATGTGGGTCGATAACAAGCTTTGAGGCTACCAACCTCACTTACACGTTGTGTAACTTCTTCTGTTTTATATCCACAGAGTTTTGCTCTCTAAAATACTAAACATTCTAGTTAGAGATACTTTTCTAAAGCTTTGAGAACATCCTTGAGGCTTCAAGCGGTTAGTTTCCCTGTGACGACTACAAAACTCTTGTCACAAGGAGCAAAATTTGGTTATATAAACTTTAAAAGTTGTAGCCCAAGTAATCCATATTCCCCAGATTAAAACGATATTAATCTGTTTCTTGGGCAAAACACTTTACAGTCACACTGCCTCTCTCCAACCCAGGAGTATAAATGAGTAACGGCGACTTGTTAGGGAAGTCTGATAAAATGCCGAGGGGTAGCCTTTCGATGGACTAGCATCCATTCAGGGAGCAGTAATAATACTCCTTGTCGCTTCATGCTCTATGAAAACCGGGATAAGCTCCAGCTGGGTGGGCCAATAGGTTCCGGTACAAATTTAACCTTTATACCTTTACTTTGTCTTCCAAAATAATTTCTATAACTGTTGATAGGGAACAATTATAAGGGAAAGACCATTGTCAAAGTTATGAAAGGGCTGAGGTAAAATAAGAACCATTTCGGGTCGAAGAAGGCGAAAAAGACATTCGAATGACTAACCGAGAAAAAATTCATTTGTTGTCTTTTAATCATAAACTGTTACGGTATAATCTAACCGACAGAAAAACACCACAATCCTACAAACTCAACTACTTTATTAAACAAAGAGTGATATTCTTAATAAGGAGCGACTCCTAAAGACAGTAAAACTTACTTAAGCCCACTACAGTATATATATTAGCTCACCACTGAGCCAAACTCACAGTTTCCTCCAACGTTTCTTGAATTAGCAATCTTCCAGTGTAGCTCTCTCTTACGGTAGAGCTTTCGAAACAGTCGGTCACTCTCGACAACAACAACTACTAGATAACTGAGTCCTTATAAACATCTACAGAGTGTTCCGGAATACTCCAGAAGCTTACAAAAGAATTGTTTTAATAGAATTACGTAATAACTGCGTGAATAGATGAAATGTTCCAGAAAGTTCCACAGTACTCATGTCAGCATAACGAAGCAGTCTGGAGATTTCTGGAAGCTTATATTTACAATAACAATCACGCATAACAGAACACTTTTTAGCTTCAAAAAAAAGTAACATACGAATCTACCCCACAACCTGTTGAGGGTCCATAGGGCACCTCGAGATACCAACTTTATAACCTGTTTACGGGTTCAGCCCTAAATCTAATGGCTCTAAAATCGAGGAAATCTCCTGAAATGAGAGAGGATCAACCTAAGGGACTATAATAACCGTAGAGGTCTTAATCCTTAAAAGGTTATCTCTCTCTTGAGTAATTTTTGGTGATTTAATTACTGGTGATTTAAGAAATCTCAGGAAGACCTAGAAATAGCGAATCATGTATTGCGAATTTTGCGCAAGTGATCAACCCATAAATGCCTAATTATTTGTCGTGTGCAAACAAAACGCGAAGTACAGGAAACGGAGTTCTGGGTAAATTTTAGTCATTTTCTTGAGCGAGAAAATATAATACAACAAAATTGAAATTTATGACCTGTACAATGATAAGAATAACCTCAAAGGGATTTTCTGCTGACTCAGTAAACCCGTAAGGAGATTCAAAATTTGCGCCTAAACCTCAAGCATTAAGTTTCTGAGTTTAACTTGTGTGAATAAATCGGTAGATATAGATAACTAAATAACGATACCTTCCGAAAACAAAAATGAATACGTAGACTTAATAATGCGCACACGTGAGAATGTTTGATGCAAATATACCCTAGAATCCAGTCAGCACCTCAATGACACTATGAAAGCGAATATTACTCCAGGCATGTCAGACTTTTGATTGAGTGTTTCGTTCATCGAACAAGAGGTTATGGTTCTTCAGTGTTTGACAATCACACTGCCATTGGTTAGCGTTTTAAATTCGGACCAGGTGACAACGGAACCACTTGGTATCCTGCAGTTTGTGTACTGAGAAGCAATTTCTTTTCCGGACAGAACCTGGTCCCACATGTTGACCTCAGCCAGTTGGGCATTCAGTGTGTCCTCCAGTGTAAAACCTCCTCCAAGGGTGTCTTGATCTTGCCCGAGCACTAAATGCCCTCCAGATCGGACTGTATATCCCACTTGAAAACCCATATGCTGGCCTTCAAATTGACCGTTTTTATACAGTTTGAGTTCACCATAAGTATTTTCCCAAGTGAAACACAAATGATGCCAGGCACCATCATAGACCGAAGCATTGAAACTAAAGGAAATTCATATTCATGAAATGAGTAATTTATATTTTCTTCATTTACTGCCCAGTCTGTTTCTTTCTGAATCATCCATCGCTTCATTCGTTCCAGTATCATTCTTACACCCGTTCACCCACCCTCCCTCCCCACCTACGAAGAAATAATTATGTTTGAGTAAACTCAGCTGGTCCAATTTTAAGAAGAGGAGAAGAAAACAAAATACTCTCACGGGATGTCTAAAATTGTAAATGGTACGACTCCAACCTACTTTTAAAGATGTCTTCCCGATTGCTAAAACAGACAACTAACGGAACTGTTTTTCTTACACCGGGGCAAGTCTCAAATGCATTCCCAAACAAAATGGAAAATGAGAAATCCATGTCTGGAAATTGAACCCAGGCCATGGAGGCCGGAGGCGAGCGCTTTCACCACCGCACCATACCCGCTCCCAGGGGGCATTTAATGATGGCTAAATGAAATCGTACGAATCTTATCCCCTTTTTCGTGCCCATATTGGAGGATGATCGTGGTAATGAGAAATTTTTGAAAAGGGTTGAATTAACTCTCATCCTTGACCCGATTTTCAAAAAAATCAAATAAGAATTACCTGCCATGTTCGTTATTGATGCAGAAAGCTGTCTCAGTTGGAGAACTTTCGGCATAAATATCATTGTCATCGAGTTTGGCATAGCTGAAGATAGATTGCAGTTTTTGGTCTGTAACAACTTTTACAAAAAAACACAGCGATAACTGGCTGAGGTCCGATGGTATGGCTGGATATTTCATGGCATAGTTTTCAATGGAACGCGGCGCAGGAAATACGAGTAAGTATCCTAGAAGAAAAAGTTAACAGGGCATCGGGCAGAATGCGTGGACATCATTAATTATTCATAAGCGATAAAGCGGCAATTTGAACGGGACCTCGCTTTGAAGAGCTCTAAATTATGGAAGAAGGGCCAAAAATGGCCCACTAGGCTTCATAAAACTCACTTTTCTGAGTTTAAGAAGAGCTTGCTTCTCAAAAATCAACGCACGGCTTTTTGAAAATTATAGATGCATCTACAATTTGCACCTAAAATGAACGATTTTTACGAAGCAGAAACAGCATCCTTTTGCACTTGAAAATACTAAAAATTCGGTCATTATTGGTGCGAAAGTTATTTTCAAGAGCGATTTTGCGAAAACCCTTTAGACGGTCTAAAATTGTTGTCATGTTTAACAAAGCATTCACCTCTAATTTAGTGGAATAACTTGGGTGCTTAACCAGTGAAACTGCTCTCCCTTCCCTTCTTTCTACAGAATTATCAAAGAATCTCGCGAAAGCCTGAGTCAAATAATAGCTTCCGCATCAACGTGATACCTGAGAAATAACAGTTATCGAACCATATTTTGTGAAGCTTTCCTTGAATGTTCTCCAGAAATCTCTGCTTTGAGAACGACAATAAAAAAGACAGGTTACCATGTCTGCCAACTAGTTGTGATGGGCAAATCTTACCCAATCTATGCCTGCACTGATACTAATACTAATGTTATTTCATCGGTTCACCGTTCTTTTTGCGGTAGTCGGAGGCAACGGTTAAAATAATACTTGATAGGCAGAAAGTCTCGAGCGTACGTAACAATGAAATATACAATTTAAGGAAAAACCACTCAATTTTTAGCGACATCGACTCAAAACGTTCCTCAAGTCCTCGCTTTCATGATCATAATTTGCATCCGCGAGTACCGGGCTTCGTGCACGCTTATTGCTCCATCTTTCTTTCTTTTTTTATTCAATGGAATAATTTGTATACCGAAATCCCTAAATAAAACACATAGGCCACCGTGCTCGTTCAAGAGCAAAACACCATCGTGCCTGTTCTCCTCGCCCATTGATTGAAAAAATAATATCATGTTCTCGGAATGCGCCCCTACTGATTTCCATTATTGCACGATATTATGAGGAGTTCAGGATGCGCAGTGCAATACTGAGGAATCACCTTAATATGACAACTTTATACGGGATGGTCATAAAGTAAGATGGTATAATTCTCAACCAATAAGAGAGCACGAATCTCTTTATCTCGCTTAGGCAATAAAACCATAGAATGATAGAGAAACATACTAAAGCACACTTGGCGAAACCTGTCACCGGGTTTAGTTAATAGTGCATCTCAGTGTGGCTTTAGCTGTTCCCTCTTAGAGCTGTAATTTATTGGAATAAAAGCAGTTTACTTGCTGGAACTTTGCTAGTATGGTTATGTTAGAGCAGCACTAATCAATGGGAAGGGTTTACTTTTTCCCTTATTAGTTTAGCATTTCTAATGAAAAATATTAGTGATAGGAATGTACATTGACTTACCTATGTCACACATTTGTTTCCCCTCTGGCCCTGATAAACAACTGCAATTGTGATCGACTACTATTAAACGGATGAAGACAATGGTTAATAAAACAGTAAAACGTTCAAAATCATTTATAATCTTCAAATAACTTAGTCGTATCTTTATGATTTTCATCGAAGCTTTCTTCACATTAGCGATTGTCTTGTATAGAGTTTTCAATTGTGTATTGAAAGAAATACCGGATTGCCTTCATTTTGCTTTATTTCGCTCTGTGATTGGTCAAGAAGCTTGGAGCGCTTAGCTCTGTGATTGGTCTAGAAGCTTGAAGCGCTGGAAAATGGGAAGGCTCAAATTGGAATTGGTTTAAATTTTGCATCTGATTGATTGGGATGGTGATACAAGTATTGTTGCCTATTTTTGATGATTTTAACCTTTTCTGTGTACGGTAATTGGGATTACTTTGGTTTTGGTTTTTCAACACTCAATTGAAAACTGCTAAATTTGAGTACATCGTGATCGAGTACGCGGTATACTTAGCACATACTAATAGGTGAATCCGGAAACTCTTGTAATCTCCTTCGCAGCCGTTTTTTTACGATGTCGCGCAACGATCCCTACCAAAGAAGGCCTCGTGAAGCGTTTTATGACAAAAAATGGTAAAAAACGCCAACGAAAAATTTATATTTGCAGACTTTCTATGATTATGACTGATGATATTAAAATTTGAAAAAATAACAGGATAGAGAAGGTTCAGCTATTTTAACTCTTCAATCAGCAATCTGGAGACTAGTCGAGTTACTTGGAGGCGAAGTTTTACTCTGGCTGCATAACTTGTCGTGGTGGACATTGAACAACAATTTAAATGATAAGAAGAGAGAGTTACGCCTTACTCTTTTCACAATGGTTTCCTTTGTACGATCTCGTACAGCGACAAATATAGCCATTTGTTTGATACAGTGGTACACAAGTTCCGTTGTTCTGACATGGCCAACTTGAGCAGGGAGACTAAGAACAAGAAAATCGTTCATTTTTATTAGGGCTACTTAAAACGATAAAACTGCGACGATTACGTCCAACACAAGCTGTGGTTCATATCAAGGAGTGGAGCTAAAATACGAAGGGATGATATTGATCTATCATTTAAGACAAACGCCCCTGTCTCAACACGAGGCTTCGTATCTCAGTCGGAAGTATCTCGTTTATGCGACTAAAACTGCTGATGCTTACCAGACTTTACTTTTTTTAATTCAAGGAAAGATATTAATTTATTTTCGATGCTCAGACAAATCACTGCTATTACTAGAGATAAGGATCATAAACTTATAAAATACGTGCATTACGCAAAAAATTAACGAATATTTTAAGTAAATAGCACTTACAAGATAGAGATATTCAATTCAGTCGGTCACCTCAGTTCTTTTCACCCTCTGCCCATTCAAACGGAATACTTAGGCAAGGAATTTCTTTCATCAGCCACACATTCAGAAGATCGTCCTTTCAATCAAATTTGCCACATCCTTCGATTTAACGCAAAATCTCCTACGAACGCGGTACAGGCCGACGTAAAAAACTGGTACAAGAATCGGCAAAAACTGTTTATTGATAATCTGCTTCTGCTCCAAAGTATGATAGTTCTCCTAATTATAACCAATACAATTTCCTCAAGTTTGACTGGCCCAACAGCTGCTTTATTTTTCGCTAATCATTTTATACAGCTGTCATCGGACACTTGGCTGTAATCGGACAGTTGAAGCAGCCAATCATACTGAGTCCACCAGGCAAATCCATCAATCACAGAATTAATCACCATAATTATAGCAACAACCACTTATCCTAAAAATACTGAGAAATTTCTAAAATGGAAAAAATTTTTTGCTTTAAACATTGTCCCTATCGGAAATATATGACCTAAATGTATTTGTTGTTTTCGGAAATTGTAACGGTTATGATTAATTGGCAACAGGACTTCTTGTCATCCAGTTCTGTCTGCAATCATACTAGTGATTGACAAATTGGACTCTCGCTTCGCGGTTCTCGGATTTTGTCAATCACTCGTACGACTAAAGACCGATGATGAAGTTTTGTAATCGCCGACAACTACTTTGAGTAGATATCTACACTACGTTTTCTGCATTGAAGGTCCAAAGTTTCGCCCGTGGTCCAATCTTGGCTTAACTAGTTCGTAGACTAAGCCGTGTTTCTTTCTAAAATTCTGCATTTAAAGTTTTAGCTTTCACCTTTAAGAATTCAGTATTTTAAAATGTCATGAGAATTTCCAGTTACTACGCTTTTAAAATTACGGTTTGAAGCAATTGTTAATGATTTTGTATCATAGCAAGTACTTATATAAATAAAAGGAAACCTCGTATTTAACTTTATGTCTAACAAATTTTGGTTTCAAAGATTTTTCCATGAGCAAAGAGCTTCCACGTGTGAATTTTGTCAAGTGTGCGATGTAAACAAAATAGGCAAATAACATGAAAAACAAGCGGTTGTCACGAAATATTTTTCTCAGAGGATCCGTGCCCGCACGACATTATGACAACTTCCTAAATTATTAACTTTGATTTGAAAATACGTCTTTCTAAAAACATAAAAGTTTTTTAGAAAAGCATTACGCCGGCGCGTGCGCCAACATTGCGCAGAAACCATAGGGAGTCTC